ACTTCCTGCAGAATTCACTCGCTAATTCTGCAGCTGGGGAAACTGAGGTGGGGAAAGGGAGGAGGGAGGTAGAGAGTGGGGGGGGCCGGGGGAGAACCGGGAGAGGGGCCGGGCAGCCTGGGGAAGTGGGAAGGAACTTTCCAAACGGAAGAACGTGGCAGGAATATGAATATGAGGTGCTTACGCAGCACCTGTTCTGGGGACTTCACGTGCATTAACGCGTTAATCCACAGAGCAACCCTGTGCGTAGTTATCATCATCCCCATTCTACAGAAGAGAAAGAGCAGAGGGTAAACTGAGTCAGGTGAGGTGGGAGTCCACCTGGTGGCCTGCGGGAAGGAGGAGGGCGTGAGATGTCCCATCAGGAGCAGTGACAGACCTCACGGTTCATGTGGCAGAGAGGACCCTACCGCAGCAATCACTGGGGGGAACTGGGGGGTCCCACCGAGGAGCCCGAGTGCGGTATCTTCTGGGACAGTGTGAGGTGCCTTGCATCCCATCTTGGCCACTAATTATCTAGGGCATCTTGTCTCTGACCCTAAGCGATATGCTGCATCCCATTTGGAAAATAAAACCAATAAATACATTTTTTAAAAGTTTTTTAAGAGAGATGTGAGGGGAGGGACCCCATCATATGCAGCCGGGTGGGGTGGGACATTCCACCCCCCCTCCCCAGGCCATGAGGAGAACATTTCCCAGGGAACAAGGAAGGGGGGGGCTGCCCTGGGGTGCTGGGAGGTGTGTGGTGAGAATCATTAGGTGGGAACAGGCATGGATTCTGCTTGGGGGTGGGGGTCAAGGCAGCCTGTCTCCCAGGGCCCCAGGATGGGGTGCAGGCTGCCTCAGGAGTGGGAAGAGCCAGCTGACACCAGGAACCCGGACTCTCTCTCTGTCTCTCTCGGGCACAGGCTGTGAGTGGGCCTGGGCATGGGCACAGGCTGTCTCAGGGCTGTGGGTGTTTCTGGGGGACGCCGCAGGCTGTCTCAGGGCACCAGCTGCATCTGGAGCCTCAGGCTGGGTGTCGGGGCCCAGGCCATGTGAGGAGGCGCAAGGTTCCTCTAGGCTGTCTGTGGGGAGACAGGTGGTCTGGGGACACAAATGCCTGGGGCACCGGGGGCACAGGAGCTTAGGAGGCGACAGGATGGTGTGAGGCACAGGCTGTTCTGGGGGAAGGGGTGGTCTGTGGGTACAGGCTGGTTTGGGGGTACAGGCTGGCCTGGGGCACAGGCTAGTGTGGGGTACAGACTTTCTCTACAGGGTTTATGCCTGAAGCCAAGGCCGTTGGGGAGCCCTGGGTGATGTGGGTTGGGGCTGTTCCCGAGGGTGCAAGCTCGCTCCCTGGGGCGCACTCGGGTCCTCCCTGGGGCGCGCGCGGGCTCTCCCTGGGGCGCACTCGGGCTCTCCCTGGGGCGCACTCGGGCTCTCCCTGGGGCGCGCTCGGGCTCTCCCTGGGGCGCGC